ATTTATCTAATCGCTCAAAAATTGCAGTATTTGAAGGCTTCGTTGAAAGGTGAAGCATATCGCATTATTCAAACCATTCAAATTTCGGATTGTAATTTTGAAAATAGCATGGAATCTGTTAGACGAAAGATATTCAAATAAGAGAGAACAAATTTTTGCATATATTAAACGTTTTCTAAGCTTACCAACTATTCAAAATGAATCAGCATTTGCTATTTTTAAATTTAGTTGACAATATTAATGAAGTAATTCGTTCTTTAGAAGTATTGAATCAAACCATTGATAATTTTGGTGACACTTTAATGACTTATTTAATTTTGCAAAAATTAGACCCTTCTACAAAATTATGGTGGGAACATCAGTTAAAATATAATGAGATTCCAAAACTTAACGACTTTAATTGAATTCCTAAAAAACTATGCAAGAACACTTCAAAATAGCAAAATTAACAAGTAATAAGGTACCTAAATCTGTGTTTCAAAATAAGAATAATGTTCTGGTTGCTTTCTTGGGTTGTGGTTATTGTAAAGATCATAGTTTAGCCAAATGTTCGAAATTTCTAAATTTATCGGTTCAGCAAAGGATAGAATTTGTAAAATCTAATCGTTACTGTTTTAATTGTTTATCTAATATGCACTTGCTCAAAAATGCAAGAGTTTAAATACATGTCAACATTGCTTTAAGAAGCATCACAGTATTTTGCACATTGTAAATAATTCAAAGAATAAAACTCAGTTAAACAGTATATCTCCGCCTACGCAATCTATCCCTAAAAGAGATGAATTAACGAGTCCTAAGGACGTTTCAGCCACAGTTTGTGCCTCTCATTATGATTCGAATGCAAAAGGTAATCAAACCAGTCACATTTTATTGTGTACTGCTTTAATAAAAGTTCAAAATTCTGAACAACAGTTTGTGAAGTGTAGATGTTTATGTGACACTGGATCTCAGAGATCATTTATTTCAAGGGATTGTGTGAAGAAATTAGGATTACGAGTGAAAGATAATTCCATTTCTGTATCATGTCTAGGAGAATTTAATACTATAAGTAATGGGGAAGTCGATTTAGTATTCACTTCTCATTTTAAAAGTGATATTCGTGTATCAACATCAGCGTTTTGTACTGGACAAGGTGACAGATAACATTCCCTATGTATCTTTGCCATCAATCATCTTCGATAACTTCAGTGATTTACAATTAGCTGATCCATTATTTTACAAGTCACAACCAGTTGACATTTTATTTGGAGTAAATGTATTTCTGCATTTAATGACGGGAGAAATTGTCAAACGTGGTCCTGATCTACCATTTGCTCTAAATTCGAGGTTGGGATGGATAATTTCGGGTACTATAAATTTTGAGTCTACAAATTTTGAGCCAGTATATGTAAATCATTTGAATACAAACACAGATGAGTTAGTAAATTCTTTCTGGGAGTTAGAAAAGTTTCCGAATGTACAACCTTTAACAAATGAAGAAACTTTGTGAAAGACACATCAGGTCGTTATTCAGTTGCATTACCATTCACACATACTAGAGATATTCTAGGTGACTCCCGTGAAATGGCGTACAGAAGATTTGAATACTTGGAGAAGAGGCTGTTCTCTACTAAAGGAATTTACAACCAGTATATTCAGTTTATGAAAGAGTACTTTTCACTAAAACACGTAGAATTAGTGCCAGACCCAGATTATGAATTAGAGAATAAACACTATTATATCCCACGTCACTTCGTGTTGAAGGACTCTAGCTTAACAACAAAATTGAGAGTTGTTTCGATGCGAGCGCTAAAACAAACCACAGGTGTTTCTTTAAATGATACGCTAGTGATAGGCCCAAAAATATAAGATGACTTAATTTGTATTTTACTAAGATTTAGACTTCATAACATTGCAATAACCGCTGATATTAAAATGATGTACAGACAGATAAAGGTTCATGAAAAATATAGAGATTTTCAGAGATTATTATGGGAAGATAGCCCGTATAAACAAATACAAGTTTGTCGTTTGAAAACAGTTACATATGGAACTGCAGCGTCTCCATATCTTGCAACCAAAGTTTTGAGACAGTTAGCGATTGATGAAGGATTGAACTTTCCAAAGGCAAAGAATATAGTTTTAAGAGATTTTTATGTTGATGATATGTTAACTGGTGTAAAGATAGTTCGGAAGGTATTGCATTGATAGACGAATTGCAACAACTGCTAAAAAGTGGTGGCTTTGAGCTTCACAAATGGTCGACAAGTGAACCGTTATTGTTAAAAACCTCTGGCTTAACAAACACAGATAGTGACAATATTCATCGTGTAATAGAAGACAAACCATTGAAAGTTCTGGGATTGGAATGGCATCCGGACAATGATGAATTCAAATGTAATGTCGGTGTAATAGAGTATCAAAGTGTTCCGACTAAAAGAATTATTTTGTCATTCGTAGCAAAACTATTCGATCCATTGGGGTGAATAGCTCCGAATCTCCTGCGATTCCAAGACTGGAATTATGCGCAGCAGTTTTATTGGCACGCTTGATTCAGTCTGTAAAAGCTGCATTAGTTATAAATTTTGATTTAGTGCAAGGTTGGAGTGATTCACAAATCGTGTTGTCATGGCTAAGGTCGGATCCTAAAAAATGGCAAGTATTCGTATCCAATAGAGTTTCTGAAATACAATCCATCTTACCACCTGAGAACTGGAGTCATGTTGATGGAAAGGAAAATCCAGCTGATTGTGCTTCACGTGGGTTATTTCCTGCAGAACTATTATCTCATCAATTGTGGTGGAATGGTCCTTCTTGGTTAAAGTGCAGTGAGATTGCCTTGTCTAAAAATATTCTTATAGATGAAGAGGCATTACCAGATGCACGTAAAACAGTCTCATTTGTAGTTTCTGAACCTGTACAGGAACTTGCTATTATATCAAATATATCTTCATTTCCAAAGTTACAACGCATATTTGCTTGGATATTAAGATTCATATCGAATTCTAAAGTAGCATATCTAGAAAGAAATACGTCTTTTTTATCTAGTAATGAAATTCGAGCTGCAACTTTCTGTATTGTCCGAATAATACAGCGATTTCACTTTTTTAAAGAAATTCAATGTTTGGAGTTGGGAAAGGACTTACCTACAAACAGCAACCTCCTTAGCTTGTGTCCAATTTTAGATGACAACAAAGTGTTACGTGTAGGAGGAAGACTGAAAAATGCGCAACTATCAGAAAATGAAAAACATCCAATCTTATTACCTTCAAAACACACATCTGACAGAAATCATAATTAGACACTTTCATGTCAAATATCTGCATGCAGCACCGGAACTTCTTCTATCTTTAATTAGACAGCAATTTTGGATCATAGCTGCTAGATCTGCTATCCGAAAAGTAGTAAGATCTTGTATCACGTGTTGCAAACTTAGAGCTAAAACTGCAAGTCAAATAATGGCTGATCTACCGGAATCTAGAGTAACACAATCGCGACCATTTCATCGAACTGGAATAGATTTTTCTGGACCGTTCATGATTAAACATCGTGCAGGACGTGGACAAAAATCATTTAAATATTACGTATGCTTATTTGTGTGTTTTGTAATCAAGGCAGTACATCTTGAAGTGGTAGAAGATTTGTCAACAAAGGCATTTTTAAGTGCATTGAAACGATTTATTGCAAGAAGAGGGAAACCATTTGAGATTTATAGTGACTGCGGTACTAACTTTAAAGGTGCAGACAAAGAAATCAGAAAATGTTTTTTGCAATGTAAGCAAAATCAAGAAATTCACAAATTTTTGTCTTTAGAGGAAATAAAATGGATATTCAACCCGCCATCATCTCCCCATTTTGGTGGACTATGGGAATCGGCAGTAAAGTCAATCAATGAAATTACATCTAAAAAGGACTGTTGGTGATACTGTGCTGACCTATCCGGAATTTCAGACCTTGATAGCGCGCAGGTTGAGGCTTGTCTCAACTCTAGGCCATTGTGTCCAACATCGGCTGATCCAAATGATTTAACTGCATTAACACCTGGTCATTTCCTAATAGGAACGTCTTTAACTGCCATACCTGAACCAGACCTAAATTATAGTTCCTTCAATCACATTGACAGATGGCATGTGAGACAGTTTATTTTTCAGCACTTCTGGAAAAGATGGAGTCGAGTCGAATAGAATACCTGTCTCAGCTTCAACAAAAGACCTAAATGGCAAAAAAGTCAAAACAATTTAGAAGTCAATGACTTAGTCCTCATCAAAGAAGACAACCTTCCGCCTCTTAAATGGAGGTTAGGGAGAGAATAATTGCTGTTCATCCGGGGCTCAGATCAAAGAGTCAGAGTTGCTAGTATTAAAACTGGTCATGGTGTCATAAAACGACCAGTCGTGAAATTGTGTCCTCTTCCTATTCAGACTAAAAAACTATGAACTGCTTCGCATATAATATTTTGTATTATTTTCTTCTTATGTTTATCTTTATTACAGACTAAGAAGTTTCAAAATGCTCCAACTGTTGAAATCCCCTGGGATTTCAACGAGGGCCAGGATGTTTATGTGAGTATCGTTTGCTTCATTTTATTGTTGCAAACAGCGTAAATTTTTTTGTTTTTCTTCCTTTAGTTTTGAACTTTATGTGTGGCAACAATATAATTGATTGATATAATTGTGTTTGTGACAGCCATGTAAAATGGCTCGCTTATTTTGTCTCAATTATTTCGCATCGCTGACATTTTATTTATAATTAGTGTAATAAAATAAAAGTGAAGGAATACAGTCTATTTGTTGATTGATTATGTTTTGGGAAACATATTATATAAAGAACAAAAGGTAACACACAAAACGTTAAAAAATGCCCCTTTGGGGCACGTAATTTAAAGTCTGAAATATTTCAGATTTATTTTGTTTTATTTATTTATTTATTTGCGCATGCCGATTTGAAATCGGCACGCTTTACATATTCTTGGATTGTTCAAATGAAAAATATACTTTTGGATAAAAAACAGACTAACTCACCAGCAGAGCAAAAACATGTTCCATTGATAGGAGAACAGGTAGCATTATTCTTACAGCTGCAATTGTTTCTACAGTTAGGTCCCCAAGTACCTTGAGTACAGAGTTGATCGCATCTGTTTGAGAAAGTTCCATAATTAATTGTTTTCTCTCAATTAATAGAGGATAAAGGGAATAGCTATCTTAAGAAAATTTTATTCCATTAGCTGTTCACTTACATTCGAATTCAACCTGAGCAGAATTTGTTTATTATACATTTTACAAAAATAGCTTTTAAAAAATTTTAATCAAGACGAAATTATAATATCAAAAAGAAACATTTTGACATTTAAAATAATTATTGGGATCAAAGACATTTTTATATTTTTGTATATCAAATTGTTCACTGTTAATTTAAGGAACACAGGTTCACTGCATTGCAGGTTTCAAGAAGTTATTAATGCTCAGTCAATAGTAAATTATTGAACTAAATAACATCATATGAATTTTATTGTATCATAATTAGCTAATGAAAATGTGATAGATCTACTGTTAGACTATGAATCTGACTTTCTAGTAGAACAATACTGACGTTTACGATAAACTGTCGAAACTTTCTCTTGCTAATCTAAATGAAATATTTCATGTAAATTTCCTAGCATAAAAATATTCGCATCAACACCTGACTCTCTTGCATTCATCTATTCTTATTTGTAATTTATATGTTAAATTCATAGCTGATATTTTCACTCAGTGAAAATGTTTAATGAAAATTTTGATTTGCCTACATTATATATTAATATAAAAATTATTAAAAATATTCGTGAATCTGAATGAATGAAATTCAACAATTTCAAAATGTTACTCTTCTTTAAAATATGCGAACGAATCCAAACGAATTCACTTCGCCTATAACTCACAAACATTCAGTATCATAATAGGAAAAAAATCTGATGTGTACACCACATGACTTCCTTGTACGGAATATTAAATTATACGCATTTTTTCTTGCATTTCATTTAAATTTATTGGATTGAATTAAATCTACTTCACCGACAGCACATAAACCACAATAGAATAAATGCATTTTTTAAATTCACTCTAGTATTTTTTTACCATAGCGACATTCTGGCGCTAGATTCATTAACAGTATAAATAATTATAACAGTTAACTTATATATTTCGTTATATAACTCATAATGCACAAAATTTATATATTTAAAGAATAGAATTTCTAATTGTTGCCACATGTTCTATTCAAATACTATAATAAAAGCTAGAATGATTTATAAAGAAATTAAGCAACAAAACAAAAATAAAACAGTTTTTCACAGACGATTGAGTATTTCTCATTTAATTCAATCAGTTCTCACTTCGCGAGAAGGCAGAAATACATAAAAATCAAATATCTATATTAAAAATTACAAAGTAAATCTTAGACACTTATTTCCTCGAAAAAATTCCAGAAAAGAATAAGCATGATTTAATTGGCAATAAATGAATGCGTTATCTTTGTGTTTCAAAGCTAAGTTTCTATAGATTGGCAACAAATCCACTAGTCTCCTGTTTCAAATGTAAACATCAATGCCAGCCATAAAAAAAGGCTTAGTGGCATTTAGACAACGTTAAAATTGTTGATAATTCTAAAAATATTGTATCGAGATTTACTAAAGGCATAAAAACCTTAACCGGAAGATAAAAACAACATAATACATTAATTTTTAAAGCAAAATATGTACAATTTACAAACACATAAGAGTAAAGAAACTGAGATCATGAGCCGGTAACACAGTGGATATATATATAAATATATTTACGTTTGGTACGGCCGATTGCAACCAAATACGAGGTGCACATCTACATGTATACCAGTCATATATAGAAAATTTAAACGTCCTGAGGCTACTCGTTTTTGATTATGCGGAGTACGTAGCACGTACGTACGTAGTACATACGTTCGTACAGACACCACGAAAAATTCTCTTCAGAATAATTTTAAAGCAGTTTTATAATTTTTTTTGAGGGAAAAGAGTATTTATTCTGTCCTTACGTACAGCTGTCACGCAAAAACATCGTCAAATTTCATTCGATAGCGGTCAAAATGGATATTTTCGTTGAAATATGCTGCCTGAAACTTTTAGAGATTACAATACTTCCTTTTTACTTCGTACAAGGAAGTAAAAAGAAAATCACCGTTTCGTATCTCCCATTCTACTGAACCGGTTGATGAAATGTAGTCCGATTTTGTGTCAGAAACATGTGTTAGAACAATGTTATAGACAAATCTAACGTATAGCCTAAGTAGCGCTTTCGAGACATGAAAAATGCATGTTAAATTTCGTCATTCGGCCGAGTAGAATGGAACGTATAGAACTGTCCCATTCCTTTTTCTTTTTGTGCAAGGTGTACATATTAACTGAATTTCTAAACTCTTCTAAACCGTAAGAGGGACTTGTTTCACACATCGTGTAGCGTGTTGCGCAACTGCCTATGTAATCCCAATTGGATGACTGCTTTCACATACCACCTGTGTTCTTCAATGTGTCCTGCTTGTAGTTAAAGTTTCTTTCTAATCCAATTAATTTAAATTAAATCAACGTAATTAATTTTTATAATTGTGTTAATGAACATTCTTACGTTAAACTGCACATTTTTGTAAAACCTTACGTTGACTTGAACAATGAATTCTAGGAATAATTATGAATAACTACGAACAGTTACAAGCGCGCACTATCTTGCGCGTAATTAACAGCTTCACAAAGATTTGCAGATTGACACTCTGGAAAACTTTGCGAACAAAATTAATACATTAATTAATACATTAATACGATAATTACTTCCGCAGAAAAGTACTAAATTGTCGGCATCAAAATGTCTTTAATCTTTCTAATAATACTATTTTCAACAAATACAAACACCTCCGGCCTTTTGAGGCAGTTCTTTTCAACAATAATTTTCCAGCATAATTTTCTGAACGCTTTCTTTGACCTGTTGTGCGTATTTCACACGTATGTTTTTCATCTTCTATTATGTTCCTTGCATTTGTTTGCATTTATACATCACTATTTTGTTTACATTCACCCGGCGATGGCTTTTATATTTCTGTCCAACATTCCGAAGTACAATACACACACTCCAGCTCATTTTCTATTAATTTTCTTTCTAGCTTGCCGTTACAATATTCAAGCTTGAGGGTTTATTGCAACCCCACTTTCATCCCTCAATTTTGATTTCCCATTGGGTACTTAATGCATATGTGCTTACGTAAAGTGTCCCAGTGGCATTATATTAATGGACCGTACACATCATATTATGCGCGATAATTACGGCTGTACTTGAATAGACAGAAATATAGATTAATAGTTTCAGTGACAGATCCGAAACCAGATGTGTTAAGCAGTTTTATTATTCAAGTAATTTTTGTTTGAACATTTTACACGAAATGCATTTATATATCGGACATGGTGGCAGAGATCGAATGATAAAAAAAAAAAATTGATCATCATCATGGAAACATTATCCAAAATTCTGTTCAATTTGTTTTTAATCTTCAAAATTTTACCTTTTGCTTTGCTGTCTTTTTCTTCCTATTTGATTTTCTTGAATCTTTGCGAACCTTATCAACAAAACAGGAAAGCAAGCAAGAATTGTAGTTGCTTATGGTATTTTCACATACCGGACCAAGATGTAGCTACATCTCAAAGACTTTTAATCATAATCTTGGTGGAAACTATAAATATATTTTATTTATCAACACGGTTTTACTAATTTTCATGTGTTAAGACCTCTTCAAACAAAGGCAGCAGAAGTCGTTATAAAACACCTGCTTCATACATTCCTACTGTTCGAAGCATTATACTTGTATACACTGGACAGTAGACCATCTTCTAATAGATTTATTTAATTACTTAAAAGTAACCTAGCCGGAGTTTAATACTGTGCATGGTAAGCCAAGTCAGAGCTAAAACTAAGGCAGTTCTAAGCAAATCAGGACACAGAAGATATATTGATGACACAGATACAAGACACCTGGAGTATGAAAAAAAAAATCGATCGTTTAACTCTGGTAATTAAAAGGTTCTTGGTTGCGCAGCTAGAATCGAACTGTCAAACAACTCCTCCGAAGGAAGCATTTCATTCACTGAGTGACGAAGAACAATTACAAGGTGCTTTGACTGCAATGAATCTTCGTCTCAAATTGATAATGACATGCTCGTTGAAAGGACAAGGTTAAATAATACCGTTACTAAAGTATATACAATTTGTTCGCAAGATTGTTGTGTAAAAGTAGTTTGTTCAAAATGAAGTGAGCCTTTCGAATTATCACGTTCTGAAAGCTATGTTTTGGAAGAAAAACTGTACGAAAGATCTGAAATGTTTTTTAGTAAACTGAATGTGTGTAGGGAAAGAAAAACTAAAGAATGTTTCGAAATTAAAGCTAAGAAGAAATTAATATCACCACTCTGAAACATCTATGGACTTAAAGTCCGTAGTCTAGTGCTTGACATTCAGAAAGGAAGAACAGAAACCAGACCTATTTTAGCTGGTCATAAAAATTGACTGAAGAAGGATTTTTTTTTCACTTGAAAATATGAAAATGGTTGCATGAAAGGACTATATTCCCAATTCTGGTTCAGCGTATGTGAACAAAAACTAATAAAGATTGAAAAAGTACTGGATATAGTAAAATTCTTCAGGCCGATATCTGTAACTCAAATTTTAGGTACAGGTCAGGAATTTAAAAAATGAGAAAGTAAAACGCAGCATTCAAGAAAAAATGTATTTTTTAGAACTAATGTTCTATGCAATTCCAAATGTTGTAATCAATGATTTTTATGCATTTTGTATAAACAATATTTTGTATGATGTATACAACATTTTGCATAATTCAGTTAAATTGCTTATTTTAACTATTTATTATCAGTTTATAGGATCTGATCTTCTTCGGGAACATGCAATTACATCAGACCTCTAAGCGACAGCTAGTCGCTTTTCTCTGCGTCCTATAAATTCCATAGTAACAGGAAAATGGTGTAAAAGACCCTTTTATTAAACCTAATAAACTTTAATAGACAGCACCAACTCGTGCTTACAGAAGCCTTTTGACTTTAAATCAAAGAAAATGGGTTAAAATTACTGATAGTCTAACAGCTCCACAGTTAAACTTGCGCGCAAGTTGCTCTAACCAAAGTCGGCGTAAACAAGCTTAATAGCAAGAAAATCGCTAGAGGAGCAAAGTCAGCAACGTGGTCTTCAAGTAGGCAAAACACGCTCCGATTTACACCCTCCAAAACCTTCCTTCAAGTACTTCCTCCTTTCTACCTAATTTGAATATCGTACGTACTGGAAATTTATATTTTGTCAGGAAAATGATACGAAGCTTGATGACAGAAAAGTAATATAAAATAACGGGTTAAATTAAAATGAACCTAACAAGTTAATTTATAGAATAACTATTTAATCTGTGAAATACCTGTTGAAAACATGCAATTATTAATTTATTACACACTTTATAAATTATTTTATGAAATAACTGGATTACTTACTTTAAAGGAAACACACATGATTAAGTCTGAATTTCGTCTTCAGTTTCATAATACATAACCTTTCGTCTGCGATTTTGTTATCATTTTTTATTCCTTTCTGATTCTCTCTTTATAATAACATGAAGCGGTAATATATTCAGTATTTACACAACGTTCTATGTACATGTAATAAGAAATGAAATGCCTGACATTGTAGAAAAGATAATAAAAATAAATGTTGAAATATTTAAGAACTTACATTGTTCCATTGAAACCATCTGTGCAGTTGCAAAAACCATCTACATGATTACACCTAGCTCCATTTTTGCAAAGGCATATTTTCTTGCAATTTTTTCCGTATGTATTATTATTACAGCTGAGGTTGCAAGCTTCACCTTTCCACCCTAAAAATTTTCAAAAACAAAAAGCTTTTCATTTTTTTTTTTTTTTTCTGATTAAAAAAACCTTTTATCTGAACAATCTTGGAAATTACACAAACAAAATACTAATCAAGATTGCCCATTAAGCTTTTTCTAGAAAATTAATAACTGGTGTGGTGGGAGAGAGTATTTTTAAATGAAACGTTTTCTTCTATAAATTAAAAAAATTTCCTTCCAAGCAGGAAATCTGCGTATTTTCAGCACTTGGTGCAACGAGTCGAATCGAGTCCAAAATAATGAAACAGAATTTAAACAACTTTAAGCAGCTAAAATTTTTTGGTCAATCAAATGTTGATTTCTTAACTTTATTTGATAGTAAAACACTAGTGAGTATATTAGTAAACATTTCTATTTAAATGCATATGTTTTAAGAAAAAAAATTAAATGTATTTTTATTAAAATTATATATAAAATACAATTCGTGTGCAAATGAATTAATATATATATATATATGTATTCATTTAAGATAACAGAAATTCGGCTTTCATTTTATGAAAACTTATATTTTAGAAAATAATATCGTGATAATTAATGACATAACAGATGATCTAGAAGAAGACTGCCTTAAAAAATATTCCTCTAGTCGAATACGTAAAATCAAATTTCCCTGTAGTTGCATTAGAAACGCTAGTCCCATGCATATGGTCAAGTTTATTTATTATTACATAAAAAACGAAATAAATGAGTTTTTATTAACGCAGGTTTATGATTTCGTAACTTTTGCAAACGTAAGTACTATTACAAAAAGATTAATTGCTAAGCCAAGACATAATTTTAACGAAAATCACAGTTAATACAGCAAGATTCATTTCAAAATAATTCCAGCGTCGGAAATCACAGTTCTTCAAATTGTGATATTAAATTTACGCTTTTTTCAGATATCAGTTGCGCAGCTGAATTTCAGTTCATAATATTAGATGAGTAATTTGGTTTAGTAAGTTTTATGGCTAAGAAAGATTTGCTAAAAGTTTATAAAATTTTGTTTGTAACTGCTGGCCATTTTAGAATGTAACACCACGAATGAAGCTTCTAAGGAGGATGAAAATTACGTGATGTGTATATCGCAATGGAGTATGCAAATAATTCCGATTTCAGCGCAGGCAAACATCATGGGCCACTGTATCGCTGCTTATTATCAGTGTGTAAAGAGAGGAAATATTGCCGTTTTGAATATTGTGAACTGTTTCCTCGTGAATTTTTTTTTTTTTTTTTTTTTTTTTTTTTTTGTATGTGCAGCTTCAGTATGCTAGTACAAAAACGCGAGCAAGATTCGAGTACGTTTCTGAGTTCGACAGAGGGAGAATCGTTACACACAGAGATTGCGGATTATCCCTCCGAAAATCAGTCCCCGTATCACACATAGCCAAGAAACAGTCATGCGAATATGTAACATGGATGCAGGAGGGAACGACTGATAGTCAGGAGCAATTGCATCCACTTCGTAGCACCACTTTACAGGAAGTCAGGCATATTGTCGGCATAGCACTGATGAAGCGCTCTGCTACATCCGCAGCTATATCACAACGAATGCAGTTCTGTAACTCGACAATCAGTATCTGCACAAGTAATTCGACATCGCTTATAGTATAATGGAATGTTTACTAAGCATCCATTACTTCGCTTACATTTAACTTACAAACCACAGGAGTTTGGGTTTGCAATGGTGCACTGAATGGCGGAGGTGGAAATCTGAGTGGCATGACATTGTATTTTCGGACAAATCATGCTTCTGCCTGCTGTACCACGGTAGTCGGAGTAAAGCTTGGAAACACCGTGGACACAGACTGTCCGAGTTTTGTCTTATGCATCGTCTTATTGGTCCTGCACTCGATGTTGTAGAGTGAAATGGTATTGGATTCCAATCTCAGACCCCACTAGTATGCATTACCCATACATCTGCCACGCCGTATCCTCTCATTCACAAGGTTAACTTTGGTTACATGTAGAGGCAGCATGGGCTACCATCCAAGCCACCCAAAACATCTTACACTCAATGCCGCCGTATGTAACACTGGTTATTGACAAACACGGAGAAGCACTCATTACTGATTTTCTCGTCACACTTATGTCAAAGCAGGCTGTATTTCATATCTATGAACACTGTATAATTATCTGAAATAAATTAGAGTTTGACATCTATTGCTCTTTTTCGTGTTGAATTTTGTATAGCCACCAGTGCATATAAAATAAAAATCAAAATTATATACATATAAAAATAAAAATCTGAAAGCTTTCAAATTTGGTATTACGCCCAAATAGGCATTTTCTTAACGTTTTGTGTGTAGCATTTATTTATTAAATATCATTTTCTTCGCATCTTAACCATAAAATATAATTCGAGAGCAATATAACAAAATATTTAAAAGAGCATATCTTTAGAATTTTCAATACACAATTTCGCTTACTGGAGATATTTTTTTCCGTGCAGTGTTGCCATTGTTCGCTTTGAAAACGTCGAGTTTGTTAATCAAACTTTCTTTAATGGTTGACAAAATATGAACTAAATAATAAAATAAATTCCAAATTTGCGCTTCCAGATGCCCATATTCGAATGAGGACTGAATTTGATGCCTCTAGGTAGCCTTGGTTTTTCACAGTGCGAGAAACATATATAAATTCATGCAGGTTCTGCATTACTTAATTTCTTTAAATATAATGCAGGGCTCTAATATTTGACGGCAGCAATTTGGAAAGTGAACCAACATTTATAGTGAACCGACGCAAAATGCCAAAACGAAATTAATAGCCCTTCAGGGCAAATGACCCCTTCGGGCTAAAAATTAAAACTAAATTTTTAAAAATGTTAATTTTGATCATGTGAAATAAACAAAATTTAGCATAAAACATATTATTGAAAGTAGTATGCAAATAAATTGTAAAAAAATTCCGTTCTACAGTTGAAAACTATGTAAATGCTAAATCGATCATTTTTTTAGGATTGTTAGATTTAGTGCTAAATCAACAGATAAGAAACAAAAAATTATATTCGCATTTGAACTTTAATAACTTTGATATTTTTTCTAGACTTTATATAATTCGGTAAACTGATAAAACTATTTGCTCTTGATAGAAGGAGACCTCTGATTACTTGTCGAAAAATACTAAAATCTACATTGAAGAAAATTTAAAATAAATATGAATAAAAATGTTGACCTTCGATACTTTTTTAAAGTAGGAGTGGCGAACCAGCCAGTCGGGATACAAATTTTATTCGATCTCAGTATTAAGTTTGCATATTTTCATAATAGATGCATATATATATAAATATTGAACTTATTATTTCAGAATAAATTCATCTCATGCTTGCTAATAAATATTAAGCTTTTTTTGTAATATGCAAATATGTCTATGTTGAATGTATATATTTTTTAAATAAGCATAATGTAATTTAATTTTTTGGGAGCACATAAATAGTTCTAGATGTAACGCTCGTGTAACAGCACACGTACATATTACAATGTATGATTTCTGAATGTCATTTCGAGGCTTGATGTAAACTGGACCCTTGAAATCCACACCCGTGACATAGAAAGGTGGAGTTTCAACAATTCGGTCTTTAGGTAACTGAGCTGTCATTTGTTTCGTTGGTTTTACTGCATATTTTCGATATATTAAACAGTTCTCTATGACTTTCTTCTCCAACTGGCGGCCTTTGGGAATCCAAAATTTCTGTCGCATTTTGGCTAACGTTATTGCAACTCATGCGTGCAGAACGTTATTGTGTTCACTTTATACAATTAATTTAGTAAATTTGGAATCTTTGGGAAGAAGAACTGGATGGTTTTCATCTAATGTATATGCGGTTTCTTCTAATACTCCCTTAATTCGAATAATTTTATTTTCATCAAGAAACGGTGACAAGATGAATATACGTATTAGAGCTTGGAAAAATTGACTTGTTAGATTGAAGAGCCTTAATTTCAGGTGTGAATAAGTCCGTTTGGGCTTTACGAACACAAAATATTTCAGCGTCTTGAATTTCAGAAGCACTTAATGTGCCAATATTAGCAGGCGATTTTCTTGCTTTAGGCAAACTACGACAGAAATTTTGGATTCCTAATTGGTGAAAGGAAGATATCAAACTAAATTACTTTGGAAATCTAACCTGATGAATTAAATAATAATTTTCATATCAGATTAGATAAAGATGTAGAAATGCGTAAGAAATACGCAATAATTGAAGAACAACTCCATGAAGGAATTGCTGAAGTATATCAAAATTAATATTTCGAATCAGGTTATTAAATGCCTCATAGAGCAGTGACGAGACCAGATAAAGAAACTTATCGTGCTAGAATTGTTTTCGACGCGTCATGTAAAGGAGAAAATTCTAAATCCTTAAATGATTTGTTACAGGTTGGACCTAATTTAAATCCTAATATATTAAATGTCATTCTTAAAATTCGAGAACACAATATCGCTTTTTCCGCTGATATAAAAAAAGTTATTTCTAATTATAAGTATTGCCGAGGAAGATCGAAAATATTTAAAATGTCTTTGGTTTCAGAATGACAACAGCAAATCATTCAAAATTATGAACATGACACGTTTACCATTTTGTATTAGCACCAGTCGATTTATTTTAGCAGCGACAATAAAACACCATATTAAAAAATACATCACTAAAAAACCTGAAAGTTATGAAATGTTGAATTCATCTTCATATGTTTATGATTTGTACTATGGAACGAGTACAGTAGTAAAGGCATACCAAGTGTCATCTGATGCAGTTACGATTTTAAAGCACACGAGTTATGAATCTATGTAAATTTAATTCCAATTCTAAGGAGTTAAAAGACATGTGGTTTAAAAACTTTTTATCAATGATTGGTTCCTTTGCGCAAACTGTACTAACTTTGTTTCTTTTCTCAGGAGAGGAGCGCCCTCTAACGGCGATACAAAAACCCCTTGTGGGATTTTTCATCACTCGCGACCACTATTTCAGCATACAAATAACTGATATGTAAGTTGCTTTCTTACTTGAATTACTTGGATGCAGAAATAGTGATACAGGTGGGGAGTGCTGAAAAATCCCACAAGCGGTTTTTGTATCGCCGTTAGAGGGCGCTCCTCTTCTGAGAATGGAAAGTTCAGTTTGCGACGTAGTGGATGATAACCATCGATGCTATTCTGCTTATTACAGTGAATAGAATGATTATTTTTGTAAAATGTTGATGTGTTGGCTTCTATTAGTATTAAGTATGACCAGAGCTCTCTTAAAGGAAATCAATATAATAATATATTATTTTTTTATAAATGTACCAAGTATTCTTCTTTTTTATTTTTACTGCATTTATCATTTTAAATCATTTAGATTTGCAAGATTTACACGGTTGCTGAATACTTTTGTGATACATTGTATAAGTTTTTGAATTAGAAATAGATCAAAGATATTTCCTGAAGCTTGCAAAATTAAATAAGTTAAATTTCTTTAACCTTGCAATATTTAAATTTTGGACAATCCATATCTTACCTGGAGAGCAAATACAATTTCCTGTTGAAGGTAGACATTCTGCACCGTTTTCGCATAAGCATATCTCCGAGCAATTCAATCCCCAAGTTCCATCAGGACATATCTGATCACAGCTTTATGAAAGGAAGAGAAATTATTTGTTTCTTGCAACAAAAGAATGAAAAGAAACGAACTCAATACAATGCTAAAACAAAGATGTTTTGTCTCCTCTGCTTTTCGAGAGGAAAGCACGTAATGAAAACCTTTTTAGAATAACTGAACATTTAAATTTTCTCCACGATCTTCATTTAATTCCTTTGTTGCCTTTTACCTTCATTAAATTTTTCATCTGCACTCCCAAACCGTGCTCCGTAGAATTGATGTTACAAATCGATCGAATACATAAAGTGCATTTTAGTTTTCTGCTGGAATGCGGACAGACTTTACAATTCTTTAAGAAGCTTAGATTGCGTTTTAAGCTTCGGTCATTATACGACATGATTTTATAACCCATATGTAGCAAATTTTGCGAATTTAAACCAATAGGTACAAAACAAAAGATAAATGAATGATGATGAAGATGAATTCATAAATATTTCCTAATTTCATTACAGAATTTGAACTTTTTGTACCTGACTACAATCAGTACTTCATCAATTACACAAATTAGCGAATATTTTGTTCCATAATAAATAAGGTTCTTTTTCTATGTATTCTTATATCATGATTTTAAACGTAAATTTCATATATTTGCTATTAGCCATGGTATTTTAGGATAACATCATTTGTCAAAATGATGTAACTGCAATTTAAAAATACACGAAGGTGCTGACGTTTGAATTATGTGCATTAAAACTGCTATAAATATTTTAATTTCTTAGCTGATATCACGCTACACTTCAAGTTTTTATTCAACTATGTTTGAGCAACAAGACTTGATTAGGAGATGTAAACAAAGAAGAATAAGTATTTTAATTGTTTTCAACTTATCATGTCCTCTATCTTCGTATTAACATTTTTTGGAATTTAGTGTCATATAAACTCATATCAAGAATTCTTAGAAGATCTAAAAAAGAGGTGCTGTTAATTCTCTCAGCTATATTTGAGTCTCATCATCTGCAGACTGGAGATGACTGCAGAAAACTAGTAGCTCAACCCAGCGTCTAAACAAGTAATATTAAATATCCTTTTTAGTGACTTTTTGAAATTTGCTTCTTTATGAGAAATCTTAATTAATTGCAATTTTACATGCGTATTTCATCTTATCGTTGTTTTTTTTTTCTCTTGAAATAAGTAACTAATCAAAATGTTTTATTACTTTTATAATGTTTATTTTTATATTAGAAACAATTAAGCCTTCCTGTAGTCTTGCTCTGTTTCGCATTTCAGTTAAAATCAATTCTTTAGCAAGCATGAATATTTTAAAGGTTAGGATAAGTAATTCCATTTGTACAAATGATGAAAAAATGAGTTCCTAAAGCTTCTGATGTTCATAACTGGTTTCAGCTATAATGTTTCTCTAGCCAAGATGGTAGGTAATTTTGAAGAATGCAGCATCGGTGCTCATGATAAACTTAATAAGATGGTTTACACATTAGAAAATGGAACTATATTTAAAAGGTTAAAAGGATAATGGCTTATATATTTGACAAAATAATTAAATTAAAATAGATCTCGTTATTTAGTCGCTCCACACTTTCATTATTCGGATATAAAATTCTAGATGAATTCTATAAATAGAGTTATTCAATCTATTATTCCCGTTCAATTACATGATAAATTATTTTCCCCCTTTTAATACACCAGTTATTGTATCCATTTTAAATAAAATCTTATTGCGTTGTAATGTACCTCACTTGGGAATTCCAAGTTAATGTTGGAAGTGAGGAACCTAAGAACTGATAAGCGAATAATCGCTAGAGTTCGATGACAAGAACAACAAGAGAGAAGGGTAACTAACCCTTTATTATTTCGATAAGATTTAACAAAACTCGGCCTGGGAGTGTACAAGTAAAGCCCGCACTTTGGACTTGAACTTAAAAGACTAAGAATTAAACTAGAACTAAGATTAACTAAATAAGTATAGCCAGAGCTATCAAGGTTCAATTAGAGTTGGCCCCTTAACTTATTTTACTACGAAGCTTAGCAAGGGCCTGAGTACGGCCGAGCGTAAAAAACAGCTTTGAGAGAGAGAGAGCGGCCAAAATGGCAGACGCGCGTAGTTCAGAAACTCTGATTCTCTCTCAGTCTCAGTAAGTAACTTCGTGGTTTAAATACCGCTCCTCCTCATTAAATATTCAGCAAATTGCAAAAATACGTTCTGGCCGGAAGTAGTAATTTGAAGTTAAGAATTTGACAGGAAAGGAACTTAAAATTTAACTGTTAATAAAATTAACATAATCCTTACAGCGTAAAAACATTTCTTTGAACTATATTTCATTTCTGTTTTTAATCTCAGTCACACGCTACCAACGATACAATTTTTAGTCATTATTAAAATACACACAATAAATTATAAAAAAAATGTACGAAATAAAAAAAAAATAACTGAATGTCATTCAGAGAATGAAGAAATCGCTTATATTCAGCTTCCGAAAGTGAAAATAATAATGTTACAACGAGTATATTACTTGAAGCTAAAATGAATAAACGAATATCGCCAATTCGTCATTAAGTGGGCCAAAATGGGAAGCTCAAAACGCCTTTTTCCCGTTTGCTTTAGACAGCGGCCCATTTTTTTAGAAAAAAGGACAAAACATTACTCAATTTACATTTTCTTATGATTTTTGTTTTATAAAAAGGTAAAAATTTTGTTTTATAATCTGTGAAAGCCTCAAAACTTAATATCCCGTACATTTTTAAATGATGAAGTTTTAAAATCATGAAGTTAAATAATCTAAAATATCGAATGATTTAAACGTTTTTTTCCAAAAATTGAGAAATTAAGTTAAAATTTTCATACAAGTTTTACTGAAACATTTCATATTTCGCTATATGCGACGATGCAAACTGATATGCTTAGTTTGTAGGTTAAAAATTTATGACAAAATTCCACCCACAGTGAAACGCAGAGTATACTAACTAAAAGCTTATAAAAATCCTTGTTTTTTCGCATGCCAAATGTTGAAATGTTGTTATATTTTTTCAGGGAATTGACTTCTTGTAGTCCTAAAACTTCCTATTTAGCAATTTTTTAAATTATCCGCAACACCATTAATTTAACAAATTTTATTCCCTTTAAATGTATGAAATAACGTCTACTTTTGTTTCAAGCTAGCCGGAAATTTAAAGATCTTTCAAAAGACACTTTTTGTTTTTAGTCTTTTTCCAAACCTGAAGTTAAATAACAATTTTGTAAATAATAGACGTCTTATTCTACAATATGTAACTAATAATTTTACAAATTGTAGACACTTCATGTCGAAATTTGATGCAGGGATCTCTGCAATTTATTTTACTGGCTCTGAAAAACCTCAAAATAAAGATCGATTGTTTCTCTAAAGCAGTTATTCTAGTCATTCCAAAGCAGGCATCCAGGCTGTGATTTTAAATCATGACACAGATACCCAGATTATCTCAGAAAGAAGACAAACCTTGAACTTTCTTTATAAATAAAACAAAACAATTCGGGCATCATGAATGCAGATCATCTTTTTATATGCCCATAACTAGATAAAGAATCTAAGAAACATGGGGAGATAAGTAAACTGGAATTCCGCAGCTTTCATGAACTCCTTGTGAAGAATACATCTCTTATGTTCGTTTCCTTTTTTAAATTTTTAACTTTTTACTTTTGTTCCCATGTTCATTTATTCTGTTTCGTACTTTAAATGTTTGTTCTTTTTTTTATTATAAATCATTGTTCTTGTGTGGTACTTAAGCTGTTTTATATATTTGGATTGATCTTTTCAATAAAGCCATATGAAACAACATGTTACATATTGTACTTTAAGAACTATTTATAGATTTCTCATATTTACATTGAAAAACAGAATAATAAATAACAGGTGGCCATAATTAAACTGACAGTGCTCACAGTGTTCTGTAGCGCGATCTATTTGCGAGAATGACACCACATTTTGTAGGAAGATTAAACAAGACGGGGGACGAAGGATTCCGCGGAAATAAAAATTAGTTCCAAAGTCACCGCTAGGGGAATATTTGGCGCTGTGTAATAGAATATAGTGTGTTAAATGCAAATCAATAGGGAAATTACCTTTTATTTTGCATTCAAATGAGGTTCAATGTGGCTGTCGTTGTTGTGGACTACATATTTCATTCTGTGCACAGTATGCACAACAGCAGAAAGTAACATGTCTGCAGGAATCTCCCGTACAGTCCGTGATACTATGTTATCCTTTAACGTAGCCAGGTCCAGGACCACTCCTTGATAGACCTTGGACTTAAGGTAACCCCACAGCTAGAAGTCGCATGGGGTAAGATCAGGCAACCGAGGTGGCCATGCAGTTGGAAAGTAGCGGCTAATGACTCTTTCTGTTGTGAATTTCTGTCGTAGCATCTGTTGCACCCGTACAGCAACGTGTGGAGGGGCTGTGTTAAAGAGAGAAGTAGAGGGCGCTGCTTGGCAGTAGCGTAATGCATGTAAGTAGAAACGAAATATCGTTTTGATTAGGTAACATGATTTCTGTGAAGGTAGTCCGCCTAACAATAGGACAGTTGTAAATATGTAAATATAACGAATAATAAATAGCATTAGAAAAACTGAACCATCGGATGTTTTGTGTCCCTCTACGGGCCGCCATGGATAAATGCAGGTTCGTCTTATGGTGCATCTTACGGAAATGTTTGGATTTGTTAAAGTGAACTTCACGAGGAAGTATGTGTCCAGACCATGCCCTAGGTAAGAGCATGATTATTATTAAACTTTGAACTTGTTTGATTTGAATTTTGATAATTTGCAGTCTTAGGGTACATTTGTGTATTAACGCGAAATAATGGCAGAACTAGATAGATTAAAACGAAAGAGAACCGCATTGAGAACGGTAGTATCTAAACTACTAAAGAAAGTCGAGGATAGCTTAGCAAAGAAAGATACAGATGAATTATGCGAAGTGCTTGAATTATTAATAGAAAAGAAAAGTAATTTGAAAGAATTAGACGAGGCAATTCATTC